TTAAATTAGTTAATTAAATTTACTGAAGCAAAATAATTAAAATGAACTACTGACATGAATTAAACTAATTCAGTTAAAATATTATTTAGGTTTAGGGCTTCGGGTTTTGGGTTTGGGATTTAGGGTTTAAAGTAGCTGGTTTAAAGTTTAGGGTTTAGGAGTCGAGTGCTGGTGCATCAGCTGAGGGCAAAGTTTTCAGGGCGCGTTCTTACTCATTCTTGAATTCGAGGAGTGCTTGTGTGTGCCAGTTGGCATCAAAGTGCTGCTGCCTCAATAAAAATAAAAGGGGAAAGGGCAAAGCGCCAGTGTGTCAGCTAGGGGCACAGTGTCTCACTGAGTCACATTTAACAAAAGAGGAAGGGCAGAGCGGCGGTTAGGATCAGATGGCCACTGACCCAATGTTTACAAACGGGAAAGGGCGGAGCGCCAGTGTGTCAGCCAGTGGCAGAGTCTTGCTGATTGAGCGAACAAAAAGGGATAAGGGCGGAGCGCCAATGTGTCAGCTAGGACCAGTGTGTGGATGACTCAACGAAAAAAGGGGGAAGGGCAGCGTGCCAGTGTGTCAGCTAGGGGCACAACGCCTCTGACTCACATTAAAAAAGGGGAAGGGCCGAGCGCCGGTTGGACCAAATTGGCTCAATGCTCATTAACAAGGAAAAGGGCGGAGCGCCAGTGTGTCAGCTAGTGGCAGAGTCTTGCTGACTCCATGAACAAAAAGGGGGAAAGGCAGAGCGCCAGTGCGTCAGCTAGGAGCAGACAATACTGTTTCGATTCCAAAACACGGGAAGAGCAAGTGCCAGTGTGTCAATTAGGGGCAGGGGAAAGGGCAGAACGCTGGGCGTGTGTGAGAGAGGGGCTGAAAGCAGCAGACTAATTTTTAATGCCTGATGACAGAGAGCCGGTGGCACAGTGTTGCTGACTCAAAGATGCTTGACAAGCGCAGATAACACTTACTTAACGAACTAACTAACGTAACAATTAACCTAAAAATAATCCTGGTTTACGTCAAGTCAGCAGCAAGGTGAAACAGAGAGAGCAATTAAGGCCTTGCACTTGGGCCACAGCAAGGCCTATGCTGCAGGATGTAAGCCTTAGCCTGCGCCCTTGTCATTTTGCTGACCACACAGCGTTTGAAGTGAAGCGACGTTCGTCCCCATGGGCCTTAATTCAGCTAATCAGCTAATCAATCAAAAAACTAGCATACCATATATATATATATTTATTTACTTATTTATTTATTGATTTATTTATTTATTGTTATCTATATTTAATTACTTACTATTCTTTATTTATTTCTTTATTATATATCTTAGAATCTTAATAAACTAAGGCTATACCAAGGCTTCAAAAGAACTCAAAACAATGACAACAAAAACTCGCTCTATCATCCAATAAGCAGCCATTGGCAGTGTCACGAACTCGTTTTCAGCTGCCCCGCAATTGCCGGGCAGTCCCTGCACTGAACATCTGTCCATGCATTGATGTAATCACGCAGGACCTGGGTCCACGGACAACAGGAGCACCCTGGGCATCACCTTGAGCCACAATCAGTAGGAAAAGAGTGCCATTGCGCCCGTGCTTCTTGCAACCCCCATAACCTCCCAAGGGGTTATGAGCCCAAGCTAAGTGGGCCCGTAACCCTGGATTCTGGACTTTGGAGACGTCGGTCTCCTGCAGCGCACTCCGTAGGGAGTGGAATTGTCAGGAGCATGGAAGCAGCTGAGGAGGCTCAGGCGTTGGATCCGCGCGATATCCCGGTAGGTGAGCCAGGGGACGATGGCCTGGTTGAGCTCGATGTGGAGGTGGCTACCCCAAGCGACGCTGGGAGACGTGAGTCGCTTGAGATGAAGAACTGGCCCTATAGCCACAGCCCACGCCACAGGATGCAGGGAACAGCAACAGTCAGAGGACTCACCGGAGCCTCTGTCTGATTTCCTTAAGTTCTCGAACCTCTGACCTGCGCAGGAGCAAATTAGACAGCTCATGGAGATGATGACAACGGCGGTCGCAGGACAGTCAGAACTCCAGCGCAGGATGGTGGCAGTACAGGAGCGATCCAGTAGTGGACACTCCTAGAGATCCGCGGCAGATGCGGAGATCGCGCATCTCTCGGCATCGGCTGGGCCCCTCTCTCTTTGCCCCACCACCAGTACGGTCAGCCCTGCTTCCCTTCCCAGAAAGTAGAGGCCGTTCACCTTACCCGCCTGTTCTTCTGAGGTCGCGGCGTCAGATCGACCAGATGGAGACGCTGGAGAAAGGCCGGGAGAGCAACCACAAGAACATGCTTCTCCAGATCGGCAGTGGCCAGCCCGTGCGCAGCGTACTTTTCGTGAGCAGGTCGCGACGATGGATTCATCAGGGGGGACGTCGGTCCCCCACGCAGGCGTGGGCCAGCGGTGGCCGTTAGTAGGGCGTTGGAGCCAATAGGGCGGACGTCGGTCCGAGGGGAAGAGTGGGTTAATCAGGAGATTCCGGCGGCACCGCGCCCTAAGGATTTGCCAGCACTGAGGATGGGGGAAGCGCAGCAAAGTGCGCAGAACACCCTCCCAAGGCCCAAAGTCAGGGCGGAGGCCTGAGGAGCCTTCAAGGCACGTGACAGGGCTCCCATCGCTCATTGAGCCGAAGTCAAGGTCTGAGGGCGCCGTGCTTGCTGGGGATTGGGCGACAGCCATTGGCAACGCAACGCCGCAGTTGAGCGTTACTGCACATGTGTGGCGGAAGCAATGCGTTGGTGATGCACTTGAGCTGTATTCCAAGCAGTTGGACAGCACTCCTCAGGACCGGTTAAGGATTAAGTCAGAGAATTTACCGCTGAGGTATGAGTCAGGACGGTACGCCCTGGTAGAGCAACGCGGGGTCCAGCTGTTGCTGAAGGCGCTCCCAGATGCCTTCAAGAATCATCTCATCTCAACTAGAGTCACGACGACGAGCGCGATCCTGTTCGAGGTTTATTGCAAATGGCAACCAGGAGGCTCCCTCGAGAAGTCCCAAGTCCTGGAGTACCTGTGGCTCCACTGGTTCAGGAAATCCAGTGAACCCGCTGTTTGCGGGGGCAAAACAATCAAAAAAGGACAAGGGCAGAGCGTCTTTGAAGGGCAGAGCAAAGGGCAGGGCGCCATTTGGAAAATGCCAGGGCAGAGCGCCGTTCCTACCTGGGATTCGGAGTACTGGACCAAGCAGAGCTTCAACATCAGCATATCCCGGCAAAGAATTCTGGCTGAGAACATGTTGATAGTGACACACGCTGAGCCACCCTGCCGTCCATTGCAAATCTTTCTACATTGTTTCGGTGGAATGAACAGGCCCTGCGCAGCCCATTGTGCTTTGTGCGTGGCATTTGACTCAATGAGCATGAAAACGCCATGACAGAGCGGATAAGCAACGCCGCTCACCTTGCTCGTCCTCCTTCGACAGGGGTCGCGGATCCTCATCTCCATCAAGAGTTTCTTCCCAGTCTCCTAGTGGAAGGCGATCATCTCGGACCACTCCTGCTGGTGGTGAGTCTCCCTCGGCGTCGGTCGGTTTCATCCCGAAGGGCACTACTACCCAGTCCACCAGCGAAGTCTGCGGCAAGGACCCCAAAATCATCCACGCCATCTCCCTCAAAGACGTTTGGTCCTTCGTCTCCTTCAGGGCCTACGCCCGCCTGCTTGACACGAGGGCCCGACTGTGGCTGGTCTCCCTCCTTGGGTCCTGGTGAACCTGCATCACCGTCCTTTGCTTTGCAGGGACTGCCCTTCTTATGTTCTTCTAGCCTGAAAACTGTAAAGCTTCCAACAAGGCAGCAACGTACCATGGAGAAACGCTCACTAACTCCTGCTTTGTGTTTGCCAAGCAAGTCCAACGACAGTACATAACCTTCCGGGGCGCGGATTTTCCTGTGAGCTCGGGCCTGGATTTCTTCAGCCGCACAGCGCGCGCAATCTCGCCTCCACCGCGTATGATCTGCCAGCGCACGTCGTTCAAATGGAGCGGGAGCCTTTGCCTGGACCTTGGGCAGGGCCTGAAGTTGATCTCCTTGGGACTTAACGCAGGGCCTGGTGCCCACTCTGCCCAGCTTGCTGACGCACTCGCACCATGCCCACCATCTCCCCCTGCGCTGGTACCCTTACCCTGCCCTCGCGAATTGGCAATGGACTCAGGCACACCTGAACATCAGCGGCAATCGTGGTAGGCTTCCTCTTCACATGTCCCAACGGACCCTGATCAAAGGTGGTGAGCGGCGCTCGGCGTCTGCTGACAAATGTTTCCCACGTGGGCGACCTCAAGAAAGTGGCGTATATGTCATCTGCCGGTACCGACGCACCCGTTTGCTGTCTTGCAGCTAGTCTTCGCTCACGAGCAACGCGTGAATCCACCTGTTCTAGAACCGGGCGAGGCGTATAACCTGCCGGGTCTGCAGGCTGCTCCAACAGGAACAGTGGCTTCGCAGGCATGGTCAGCTGAAGCTGAGCCGACTCATGCAAGAACAACTTGCGGAGAAACAAGGCATCGTCATACGCAACCTGTGCTTTTTCAACGCCGCTCAACGCAAGAAGGCCGAAGTAATGGGCAGGCGTGCGAAGCGGAAGAGGCCCCGGAGGAAAATGCCTGCAGAGACTCAAAGTCTTGCGCGGCGGGCCTCCAATCACCCCATAGACCTTCCCTTGGGCAATCAGCTTGAGTAGGTGTATCCAAGCGCCGCTACTACTGGCCAGATCTTCCCGTAGATCTATGTTCAGGACCTCAAACGGATGGGCCGACGCCTTCAAGATGTCTCCCCCCGATGCTCCGGAGAAAAGGTGCACGGGCGCTCCCTTCTTTTCGTAGGAGCGTCTCTGTCATCGATTCCACGCGCAGGATTTGCCTTCTTCCAGGGTTCCCGCCGCTACTGACTTGATCGCTTCCATCGGTACCTCGGAAAGAAAATGCACGAGCAACGCTCCGGCGAGCGGTCTCATGTCCTTACCTTCCTTACTGCCCTGAACGATCTTGTTGCGGGTCTCGGTGGGGTCCAAACCAGGTGCAGCCATCACGGCAGCCCTGATCTTGCAGACAATGTCTGCTCTTTCTCTTTGGAACTTCTCAACGTCATCGATCAGGTCGTGGGCAAGTTGCGCACTAACTTCCGGACACAAATTGTCTGTAACGGTGTCTAACTTACCTCTGGACGGATGCTCCAACACACACCCATTTTCACTCCAAACCAACCTACATTCCCATAGCAGCCAAATCAGCAACGCAGACCAGTGGCTCGACAGCTTCCCCTGTGAGCAAGGTTCCCGCGTCACTAACGCACATTTCGGCTTCTCCTACGGCCAACGCCACTGTCCGCTTAGGAAATCGGTTCAACTCCGAAGCGGTGCCCTGGCGCATTGATGCAGTGGCTCCGGTGTCCAGCAATCCCAGCCCTACAACCGATGACCTACACACCTTATGATCCATGTTGAAAGCTTCGGGCGCAGCGCCTTAAGTTTCAATGACCGAATGGCATCGGTTGCCTCCCGAAGGAGCTCCTCTGAAGCCGGAGTTCTGAGTGGCGCTTTAGGGTCGACGCCCTCCATTGAGGTAGACGCAGCCTGGGGCGCAGATTCTGTTGCACCATCAACCTTCCGTAGCTCGGGCTTAGGCGGCTTAGGGTCGACGCCCTCTTTGTTCTTTCCTTTTCCTTTCGCCTTTCCGGCTTCTGCCTTGGCCTTCCCAGGTCCACCTCCTTCAGCGCCTTCAGCGCCAACGCGCGGGCAGTCAGGCTTATAACGCTGATCCGAAACGCGCGCCTAACACCGTTTGGCTCCCTTCAGCGCTTCCTGATCGTGATAGTCTGGGCACGACGCCCCTTTGTGACATCCGCCTGATGTCATCCACCACTTGCGTATCTTCTGCTGGGAGTCTGATGACTTGGCTTATGCCCCTACAGTGGCCTTGGCGTTAGGCACCGGAGGACCCTTTACCTTAGCAGCATTTTGCCTTTTGGCGGGGCCTGGCTCTTCCGTGATGACCAACATTTCCGCCTCGGACAGTGTGAACTCGGCGAGGTCCTTGACCTTATCCCAAGTGGGGGCGAAATCAACGCCACTGGAGTTCCTGAACGCGGCCAACCACCAGGAGGTCTTAGAGTGCGAGTCAAATACCTTGCTGGTTAGAGTATCTCAGGCAAAGTAGTCTTCGATTCTACCCCACGCCTACAAAATCTCTGCCACTTACGAACTCCCTCAACGACCTCCGACGCGGATCCCCCCGGCTCACCTCCAACAGAGACCTGACATCACAAAACCGGTCAGTGCCAAATCATTGTGAACTCTGTTTTCCTGTTGTTAGCCAACTCCTCGTCATCAACATGCGTTTGGTCCCAGCCAGGGTAGCGAAGATGTGCAATAATACCCTCCTGGCTGTACCGAGCACACCATTCCTGAGCTTCAAAGTCAAAGTTTCTCTTTGGATCCGCTGCAGTCATGGCTATGACCACATCAGGTTTCAAACGCAGGTCTTCAGCCCTTATAGCACCAACCATGCTGCCAACACTCAGGTGGAAACCTCCTGATGATTGCAGAAGCAAAACATCATCCATTGGCCACAGCGAAGGATCTAATCGAACTGGGGCAAAAGGACGTGGAGGCCCGGGAAGAGCGTCCCAATTTCCCGTTCCCTCCCAGAGGAAATCAACATTTATCCAACTGGCGGTAAGACTCAATATCTTCGTGAGCAGCCTTCAGTTTTTATCATTCCAGCACGCTGGAATTTGATCAATTCTTGCTTGTACGCACTAATACCACAGCCCTCTTCGAGAGCTACCATCTGAAGCTTGCGAACACATGAAGTCCAGTATTTGTTGGCCATGGCGCTTGGTCCGCTGTGGCACACTAAGACACTAACGCTGACAAAGATTGAGTAAGAAGAAAAGAACACAACCATAACAACCAAGTTTGATAGAACCAAACATAAAAAACTTGAAGCAAGCAACTTAACAGTTAGAATGACTCCGACAAGGAAAGCACAAATTATACGAAGCCAAACGGCACCTCACACAGAAACAAACATACAGATAAAACATCAGACAAAAATACAGAAGTGCAACAACAAATCAGACAAAACAGAAACAAACACATCAAAACCGAAAAACAAACATGCAAGGAAACAACAACAAACAAACAAACAACAAAATAGAATAAAAACAAATAAAGAGACGACAACAACAACAAAAGAATAAAGACAATACTAAGACAAACAACAGAAGATAAGCAACAAAATACAGACAACGACAATAAAAGACAATAAAAGACAATAAAAGACAACAAAAGACAATAAAAGACAATAAAACACAAACGCAAGACAAACAAAAGACAAATAAAGACAAACAAAAAGACAAGACAAAATTACAATAAAAAAACCGCCAAAAGACAAAACAAGCCAAAGAAAAAGACAAACCAAAAACAAAAAAGACAAAATATATGTTCTAAATAGAGCAGCTACGCGCAGGAGCACTGTCTTTTTCCTAGGAGATCAATGCAATCAAGCAGTCAGCTTTAAAGTAAATTTGGTAAGATCACCTTCAGTGACTCCCACCGTCTGCACTGCCAGCTGGCTGCGTGGTAGAAGAAGCAGGGGGGCTTGAGGGAGAGCCAAGGACCAGTGGGGGCTCCTTTCGGCGTAGACCTGCTGGATGATCTTGCCGAGGCTCTTGTCTTGGACCCCAAAACGCGCCGCCCATTCACCTCGTTCTTGAACGTCCTGGGCCTCCAGCTGCTTGAGACCATACTTCTGCCCATAGGCGGCTGCCCGGAAGTGGTACTTCAGCATCAAATCCAGCGGCACCTGCACATAGTCACAGGGGTCGGTCGCGATGGTCTCGGGCGCTGCGGGCGCCGGGTTCACGGCATTGATGCCTGCGATAGCCATCGCATATGAGAAGGTTTGCATTGCCCGAATGTAACTTGACACGTCACCCAGGCGAATGTCGTCCTCCTGATCATCGTCACCAGCGATCCAGAGATTGTCGGCAACCCTCCTCTTCTTGATGACGTGGGTTTGTTGATATAGGAGGTTGCAGACCGAAGACATCGGCAGGACCTCCAGCGTCCTTTTGGTAAGCGCGCGGAACATTTTGCTCACAAGGCGATCAGAAGGATATAGCTCTGGTACCAAGGCGATGCGGTAGCGGTCCCAGAACCTTGTTTTGAGCTGGGACAACTCGGCGACCGGCAAAATGGAGTCCTCATCCGCAGAGGTCGCAGCAGCAGAAGCCGCCGGCTGCGCTGCGAGTTCCAAGGAACAACACGCGGTCCACATCCGGCGGCACCGCCCGGCAAGCAATGCCTTGTCTTGCCCGGTGTAACCTTCCAGCAAAGCATTGGCAAACTCCCCCTCATTTTGAAAATAAAACCTGAAATCGGCGATTCCAGCCATGCCGAGGGCAATCATTTTGGCCGAGACGTCAGCAGGTAGTTGGAACTTGGCAACCAGCGCGGTGAACGTTTGTTCTTTGGTTGAGAGGTCCACCAACTCGCTGGCTGGCACGGCAGACGGCATGGCGAGAACGAGTGGGGAGGAAGCAAGGGGTACGGGCGCTCGCGAGCAGACAGCTGCGGCGCGCGAGAAGCTTGCTGAGGCACAGCAGCAGAGAATTAAAATGCAAGACATGCAGGGGCGCACGAACCCAGACAAGGACGCGCAGAAAATAATTCGCTGGCCGACTGCTACAACACAGAGGCACCGTCAACGCCTTAACGCGACCTACGGGCCCGCCCGGCCCTCACTTGTCCGAGTCGACGGCGATGCTCCCGCTGCTCTTCGTAACAGCGTTGACAACGATGATGACGGTGGTCAGAGCTGGCTCGGGAACATAGGGCCTGGTGGCAGGTCAGACAGATCCTGGCGCATCCAAATGTCCCAGGAGACGCCTGGTCCGACGCACTGTTCGAAGCTTCCGAGCTGGTAGAGGTAGCCACCACTTGGATCCATGATCGACTATCAGAAGGGGCTCCCGTTGATTCCGGCGGCGTTGAAGGGGAAGCCGAGGATGTAGGGCGGGGGTCAGCTGCAGAATCCAAGGCAACCAACTCAACGAGGATATCCAACAGGAGTCGCCTGGTATCTGCCGAAAGCATTAGGGCGAGGGCTCGCAGCTCAGATGGAGACGCCATCAGAGGGGGAGGAGACACCTCTCAGGAGACACCTGATGGAAGGCCGACAGCCGCTGGAGAAGCAGACAGCTTCACTTGAGAGGAAAACTACCAGAGCAGACTGAATACCGGCCGCCAGCGGTCTAAGATGCACACGCCGACTGCAAGGCTGGAAAACACAGGCCGACAGCCATGACTACACACGCAGGCAGCAGTGGGCACAGACAGCACCGCACATGCAAGCAGCAGACTCACTATTTTGTCGGCCGCGGCGGAAGGTCAACGGAATCCTTCAGAAAGGCAGCGGAGGGAAGCTGGGAGACACCCAAGGCAGGTCTTACAGTCCCTACGACCACTGGCCAAGGCTTCAGCGAGGTCGGACGCGAGGAGGTCGGCCGGCACAGGGGCGGGTCCGCAAAGGCACTGGATCGAGGCACGCCAGTAATTTTTACTCCGCGATCCGCGCGAGCAGGCCACCCAGTTCAGGGTGACACCCTGGAGCCGAGGAGCCACCTTGGGCCTGGCAGCCAAGTTTTGCAGTGATCGCTCAAGGAAAGGGCGCAGTTGATCGTCCTGGGAGAGGAGATAGTCAATCTCCGTGTACCGGAGCCGGGACACGACTCGGGCTCCCCAATCAAAGGACTGCTGGGTGATCACTTCCATGAAGAAGGCCGTGGCTGTTGCTGCTCTATGTTTGCCTGCTGCGCAATGAACGAAAACACTCTCGTTGTTGCGCACATTCGCGAGCACCGCCCTGACCACAGAACGCATTTGGGAGGCTCTCTGTGGCTGGGCGATCAACCACTTCACCGTGTAAGAGTTGGCTGGCAGGACCCCGCCGCGCGCCTGCATGGACTGCTTGAAGCAAGTCACAACCAGGGTGACGCCCGCGCGCTGCAACTGCTCAGCCTGGTTACGGGAAGTGATGCCCCCCAAGTAGATCTTAGCCTCCCCGGCCTGGAACACCAAAGATGGAGGCTGCTTACCCCTTCGGGGCTGGAAGGGCATGCCACGCTCCGCCGCCATGCGGTCGCACCGTTGCTCGACGGACTCCGCCTGGAGGGGGTCGCTCAGGGGCCACAGGGCGCAAGACGGCCGTGGACGGAGACACCATCTCGGGCCATGGCGGGGACACCGCCTCGCCCGCAGCTGCTGCCAAGACAGCACTGCGGCGCTCCGTAGCCTGAGCTCGCATAGAGGCCAACGCTGCACCCGCCTGCCGAAGGGTTTCAGTGGGCCCAGCCAGGGGCAGGTCCGTACCGGGAACAGTATGCTCCTGCTCGGCCACGCGTATCAGGTTAGGGTCGGCAACCAAAACACTGGCAGGATCCGCTGGTGCTGACGGCCTGGCGGTCTTCTTCTTCTTCTTCGCAAGCTTAGGCGCTGCGGCCTTAGCAGGAGGTGGCTTAGGCACAGGCTTAGCCGCCGCGTCACGAGCAGCCGCCAGCTCCAGAGGGAGCGCCTTTGGCGCAGGCACCAGACAACTGACCACCGAGACTGCCTTAGAAGTTGTGAAGGGGGCTGCCGACTTCACAGCAACGCGACCAACCAGAACTCGAGCAGGAGGAAGGTCCTGCCCAGGAGGCACCTGGAAGGACGGGGCAGACAGCCCCACGTTAGCCTGCGACACAGGCACTGCAGCGATGGGCAGAGACACCGCCCGGGCCACCTGGGCCTCTCCTTTACGGACCAACTGTCTCAGCGGCTTGGTGCCCCATTTGCGCAGCCCGCGCACTGCCATGGCCTGAAAGTCGTTCACCGACAACGTGGGGTGCTGCCATTCTACGGTGTTGCTCTTGGCAAGGCGGGTTTGATAACAACGGAGGCTTCCGGCCAAGACGACTGGAGGAGAGAAGCATCCAGCGACTCCCAGTCCTCAGCGCCCGCGGCACAGCAAAGGTCCCTAACCGCCAACTTGAGAAGGGCTGTGCGCCTCATCTTCCCTGCATCGTAGACACGCGGCATGTGGTTGAAGGAGCCTTTGTCCACCCAATTTCCTAGGGCGACGAGCTGAACGTCGGTGGCGCGGACTAACTTGGCCAAAGTCGGGCCCACCCTGCGAAAGGAGTAAGAAGACACCTCCTTGACATCCGCCACGTTACCAGCCAGGAGTCTGTGCGGGCCCGGGCGACAAAGGCCGAAGTTTTCAGGGCAACCAGGCGAGACACCCCTTCCGAACCATAGAGAAGTCGAGCTCCACTGCAAGGTCAAAGCCCGTGAGGGTGAACCGGGGTAGGCTCCACCAAAACCCGGAGCGCATTTGCCGCTGCTTGCCTTTTGAACACCAGAACAGCAGGGAGTAGGCGTCCACTCGAACAAGCGTGGAACGGGCCAA